GGTCCAGAAAGTGTAAAGCATCTGGTAGGTGTTCCATCTAATAATAGAAACTAACCGTTCAAATGTTTTTTTGCTAGAATTATTATTTCTATATTTTAAATTTTATTTATTTATTCATATTCATTATTTTCATGTTACAAATTACGTGTCCTTAAAAAATAAATCTTAAAATCCATCTCAAAAATAGATTTATTAAGAGACCCGCATCTCAGCATCTGCGGGCTTGGCCGCAGGAGAAACGGGGTCCTAAACATTTAAGAAATATTTTATGCCAACGAAACCTGCCCAAGATTTTTCCCTCTCTCGTATGTAAACCAGCACACAAAAAACGCACGGCTGATTGTTAAAAAGACCGTGTTCCCATCTAACGGCCTTACGCCTTGCATAATGTCAATCGGACGGCTTAAATTATAGCGTCCCTTTGAAGCTAAACTGGCAGCTTAGGGTCTCAAAACACTGCTATCTATATATACTTCAGTTTAACATTTACAGTCAACTTTCGAAACCTCCATTTCTACTCTCGCAGAGCTCTGTTAATCCCCTTTTCCTCACACTCTTCATCAGGTTGCAAGCCTTAATTTCAACAGGAAGATGGTGAGTTATAGAGAGAGGTTTTCATTTCTCTTCTTTTGCTTTGTTTTCTGTGTTTTTGTCATTTTAGGGTTTTTATTATCAGTTTTAGGGTCTTCAAGTTTCATGGTTTGCTGTTGATTAGGGTTTCTTACTGTTATTTGCTTTCTGACTAGGCTTTACTGAACCAGCAACAAGTTGATTATCCGAACTTCAAGCTTGTCATTGTGGGTGATGGAGGAACTGGTATCGTCTTTTCTACTGATATATGCTATTTATCTTTTTGATTGTGCCAGCCTTCATTGGTTTATGGTTTTCCTTGGGTCCTCCTTACTTTTTTGTTCTGCTGATGTGTTAGATAACCTCTCGTTTATAGGGTTATTTTCAGACGATTTGTGATTCCATGTTTGCTTGAATGATGAATCTGATTTCGGTTTAGGGTTTTGGCTGAATCTTGAAATCATATGATGCAGGGAAGACAACTTTCGTGAAGAGACATATCACTGGCGAGTTTGAGAAGAAATATGAGCGTGAGTTCTGATATTTAAACTTTTCTTGCTCCAGGATGCATAGGCTATGTTTGGTACATTAGGTGCCTGGTCTTTGTATGCAGAAGAATATCCTGTGTTTTCGGCTATGCTATTCTTGTAGTTTATAAAAAGGAATTGTTTTATTGGTTTTCATGTATTGTTTATTTCTATAAAAGAGTATAACAAAGTCGAATGTAATTATCTTTCTTAGAAAAAAGAAGTCGAATGCGTTCCAGAGCTGAATCTCTGATTTATTTATCTGATGTGAATTATATACGTATATCTGTATTATATATTATTGTTTGATCATATCTAATGTCTATATTATCATTTATCTGAATGGTTTTTTGTTTTGGTTTAACTTTTTGGTGCCTTATTCTGATCGGAATTTTTGGAATCACTATGTTTACATGTGGTATGCGGATTGCTGTGGAAATGTGTCTCAAACTTTGGTTTCTGACTTATTTACCCAATATAAATTATAGACTTGGGCATCAATTTAATTATTTTGGTTTGATTGTATCTAGTATTGGATCCAATTTTTTGATGTTCTCAGTCCCTATGGTCATTTACATTTAGGGAATCTCTGTGCTTACTATTTGTGTATATGTGGCTGGCCTGGTGCCATGTAATTTTTCTCATCTTTCTCAAAACTTTGGTTTTGGACTTTAATAGCCTCTCTCTATGTAACTTTACTATGGGAATGATCTAGTGTTTGAAGATGAATCTTTTGGTCTTTTGGGTTTACAGCCCAAGGTCCCAGTTTTAATGATATGAGTCAGGTTCTTAATTTGTTCTTTTCCTTTGTCCTTTTCAGAATTCTATGCTTCAATGTTTGTGTTGTTATGTGTGCAGAAATGCATTTAATCTTGCATACATTTTTGTATGTTTTTTCTCCTCAATTTGATTTTGAATTGAACTCTTTTTTTAATGGAAATATGAATGCAGCAACTATTGGGGTGGAGGTTCATCCGTTAGATTTCTTTACAAACTGTGGAAAGATCAGATTCTATTGTTGGGATACTGCTGGACAGGAGAAGTTTGGTGGTCTTAGAGATGGATACTAGTAAGTTGTATCTTCTTGTTTGCTTATGCATATGTTTGATGTGAGAGATGATGTTATCGTTTACACTCGTTTTCTCTATGCAAAGTAATCACTGCAGATGTCCACTTTTTCGTCTTTGTTGTTCAATCAAATCTACTTATATTAGTTTTTATGTTAATAGATTTTTTTAATTAGTTTTAGGTTCCTAGTTGGCCACCTTCATCTTAACATTCATATTTTATCCACTGTAGCATTTCTTCTGGTATGTGAAAGTAAAAATTGAAGAATCGATGGAGGCATAATGTGAGAGAATTTGTTTAGGAATATTTTGTTTCATAGATTAACTTGACCAATGGTGTGTGGTCCTCTTCAAAATGGAAAATTGTTTAAATTGGAAACCGGTTTGGATGTCAAACAGGTTTTCATTACACATCTTCACGAAGAAATACAGAAAAGAATAGTATATAAATATAAAGTAAATGAAATAAAACTTGGAAAATTGTGAAAGCAATAGATCATACTCAAAACTTCAAATATGTTTATGGGGTAGTTTAGAGGTACGAGTTGAACATGATATGATACTTCTGTTCAGGAGAAGTTTGGTGGTCACAAAGATGGGTACTAGTAAGTCCTATTTTTGTTTGTTTATGCATGCATTTGATTGTGTCAGATGTTGTTGTCTTTTACATCCTTTTGCTTTATGCAAAGTAAGCCAATGCAGATGTGCATCGACCTTTTTATCTTATTTTTCACATGGATCTACTTTGTTATTTTTTATGTTAATAGATTTTTTAATTAGGTTTATAGTCATCATCGGCCACCTTCATCTGTACCTACATATTTTATTCACAGTAGTTATTGTTGACAAAATTCTTTTGGTATGTGAACTTAAGTTGAATAATAAATGGAGGCATGCCGTGAAAGAATTTGCATTAGAAATGGAACATTATTTTAATTGGTAATTGAGTTCACTTCACAAATTCATGAAGAAAGTTCAGAAAAAAATTATGTATCAATATATGGTAAAAATGCTAAAATTTAGAAATTTTTTAAAAAAGGAGGAGAACATGAGAGCTATTTTAATGGTTTTAAGATGAGTGATTAAAAACCAAAAATTTCCATCTTTTGATTTTTTTCTGTAAGTCAAAGTTTTTGAAAGTAATTTAGAGATTGACTATTGCTGGAGAGATTGTTCTGGGCGTTATTTGGAAGGTATTTGAGTGAAGATCACCTAATCAAGGTTCTTTAAGAGCCATGAAGAAATCAAAATTTCTTCCGATTTCTTAGTTAGTTTTCCATTTCCTAGTGCTTTTTATTTTTTGGTTATTGGGGTATTATTTTCATCAACTTCAAGTAATAAGGATTCAGCTTGGAGATATGCTAAAGTAAAAAACCCTAGGGATAAATGTGTTATTTGTACCCTATGCAGGAATACTTATATTGGGGGTATTTTCCAGCTAAAGGAATTTTGGATATTTTATATGAATTGATTTCTTTGTTTTACATGTTGATTGTCTTAGATGTTCAAACCAAGGTTTCAAAATTCGGTGATTTGGATTGGAATCACCTGATCGGGATTGAAAATCGGTGATCTGGATTGGAATCACCTGATCGGGATTGGAAATCGTGGACAGCGTTCCGGATCCCTCAATGACAAGGGATCCAGCCTCCTCGCTTGAACTGGCTGGGTCGAGGCTGTCCATACCGGGTTTGTCAGTGTGAAGCAGCTGTTCGCACGGGGTTCAACCGGTTCCCATAATTTTCAATTTCTTATTCCTTAGTAAATAATTGAAGTCACCCAGGAGGTACTGTCCATAACACGTGGCCTCCACCCAGGAGGTACTGTATTAAATGTGGCCTTGACAAGCAACACATTATGAGCTCCCCATCGATACCCGAATCCCATTAAAGCAACAGTCCTCGCATGGCGGATTACCTCTTATCGGGTTATGCCAATTTTATACTGGCTTCGACTTCTGATGGATTTCGATGTGGGACTATTTTCTGTCCCTTTGTGTTATAAAACCTCAACCTTGGTAGCAGTTGTGTTGTTGCGTGCTGTTGCCTTTGTCATTTTCAATGAAAGCGATTGCAACGAAAACTATTAATAGCATGTTGTGCTATGCAGTAAATATTGTTTTTTTTTGTAGCGTACTATGTGTTCCTTTATGTGTTATAACGGGTTTTATTTTTTATTTTTAATCATATGATATGGAAGTGTTTCTAATAATTTTTTAGTCATGTTTATTATAATACTCTAATGGTAATTATATATTGATAACCAAATCTTGGATTTTATTATTAATTTGTTTGCATTATAAATTATATAATGTATTATTTTTCTTATAGTTGTGAACACGATTTTTTAAATTAGATGATATTATAAGAAATTTTAATTTTTGTTTTTATCTGTATAGTAAATCAATAAAGTAAACCAACAATTGCAATTTCAGTATATAATATTATAGTTAGTTAGGTTGTGATAATTTTTGATGAGTGAAGCGAATTAATAAATGTTTGATATTTTGATGTGATGCTATTTTCACTTCATAAGGGATATATTTTTTTTTTTTAATTTTATAATATGAAAGTGTTTTTTTAATATTTTTTCAATAATTTTGATGCAATATTATAATATTGTATTGCATTTAATAATTATACAAGCATCAAGATGGAAAAAGTCTCAGTATTCATGTATTTTTGCAAAGTAATGAAAGTACATAATGAACCACTCCTAATTTTTTTTAGAACATAAAAGAGCACTATTTTTAGAGATTTATAGTGTGAATTTTTTGGGACGAAACTTGCCAATTCGGCTGATTCTCCGATTTGATCTGCCGATCTGCCGATCCGTCACGGTTTCTGGGGTGGACGATTCGAGTCATTGAGTTGTTTTTCTAAACCTTGGTTCAGACTGTCAAGCTTAGAAGTTAAGAACAACAAACTCTATTTACTCTTTTTCAAGCTATTAGGTGGTGGAGACTTTCATAAACTAATATATTAGAGATAGTGAATAAGTTAAATTACATACGATCACATAAGTCACATAAATGCTTTTGTCTATGCATTATTATATTTTAAGTTTTTAAACAATTTATTGACTGCATTTGAGGTGATGTACCACGTCGCGTGATGCATCACCTCTCCGGAATCCCGGCCTAATAGGGTCCGCATGCCACATTTTAAAACATTGGTGTCATGCTTTTTAGCATTTATTTTTCTTGTAATATTGGCTATAAACATTGTGTTGGGAGGGTATTTTCACATTGTGATTAGGGAGTGATATAGAGAGAAGCAGAGGAAATGATGAAATACCCTCACTGAGCAAACAAATAAGATGTATGAAATTACCTTTAACTCAATACTTTAATTTAACTAAATCTAGCTAGTGACTTCTATTTGTCAATATCTAGTTGAGTTAGACAAGTAGATACTCAAGTTTTGAACGCATGAAATTTCGTTGCTATATCTCAACACTGCAACTTTTTAAATCTCAGAGATTGTGTACTACGCTCCATCTCAGAACTTGAACTTGTGATTAAACTTTTGGTTTCAACATCACTGGAAAATCTTTATTCAACAGAACACGTTACCTTAAGGTTGAATGGTAACCACTTGGTGACTCGCATAATTTCCTGTTTGTTTCCCTGTGTTGAGATATCATCCATTGTAGCATATTGTCACTTTGGCAAGCGACTTTGTTTGAAATTTTTCCTCTGTTCTATACTTGTTGCATTCAGACAGTCCATACGCAGGTTTTCCTTATTTAGAAAACAAGGTATTGGTGCTAAGGTTAACTTCATTAAAGAAAACAAGGTATTGGTGCTGGTAGTGTGTGTGTAAATATGTGGTTGTTCCATGTACAGCTCCTTCAAACTCTCTTGAAGGATCACTATGAACTGAAGAAGTCTCTAAATGAGACTGTCGAAAGGGTTCTATAATTTATGTGATTAGAAAATATTATAATCATCTGTTGCATGGTTATTGAATAATCTTTGTCCATGATACATTGCAGGAATAATTTCAAAAGCCTTTTTTAATTCTATATTAAGTCATCCAATATTAAGACATCCAATTACATTTTTCAATATTGGTTGCTCTATTGATGTTAGAAATCTTGTTTTTTGTATTTTTAGTGTTTTTAAGCCAAGGGTCTTCGATATGGCCACATAATGTGTTATATGACGCTGCATACATAATGTGTTATATGATGCTGGATTCCAGTTGTCGTTTTGTTTTTCTCAATGTGATTGTGTGTTGATCACAAGGTTTTGGTTTTTGGTTGTACTTGCGAGTGTACTTGGTTACAGTAGCTACCTCCTAGTTTCTTTGTAGTATCATACTGTGCTTGCTTGCTTAATTGCTTGGTATATAAGCACATTTTTTGTTTTTCAATAATTTGATGTATGCCTTGGAGCAGATTTTTTTACATGCTAATCATATTAGAGTATAGGGACATAAAATGTCCATCACTCAATCAGCAACCCAAACAGCATATATATATTTGATGTAACAGCAAATGCATGTGCCTTATGAGCATCAATGTCCATCTTTGAGTTTCAAAAACCTAAAACTAATGCTGCGAAGAGAATTTTAAAAAATGCACTTCAAATTTCTAATTTATTTTATTTATTTAGTCATATTCATGTTACCCGTGGTAGAGATTATTGATCCCTAAAAATATAAAGAGGGAATTTTGAAGGGGGATACACATGAATAAATGAGTCAGCTCTCTTTGAAATTGGATCCAAATCAAAATATCTATTCACATAAATTAATGTTCATGCTATAGCTGACAAACCTTGGACACACATTACTGAGTTATTTTAAGAAGTATATGATTGCTTTCTAAATATGTCTATTTTTTCAGTCCTATCTCTATGAGTTACTTCTATAACAATTATAGAAGTTCTAGACATTATTAAAAAAAAATTGTTATTTTCCTTTTAGCGTCCTACCTTGCTTAGGTATGTTACTTCAGAAGCATGCGTCCTTTATTAACCCTACTAGGCCTACATTTCATATAAAAATGCTGCATCCAATTGTTGTCTATGTGTTCCTGATTGTTGGTGTTTCATGGTTGTCTTTGAAGGGTTCTTACTTGATAATTATGTGTTACTTTTGTTATTGCAGCATTCATGGACAGTGTGCCATTATTATGTTTGATGTTACAGCCCGCTTGACCTACAAAAACGTTCCTACATGGCACAGGGATCTTTGCAGGTGCATTTTGTTATCACAACCTTTCCATTATTTCAGATTTCTCTTATTTGCCACAATTTATCACCTTGCCATCTTCTTATTGCTACAAATCTTGCATTTAACGCTCTTTTCTGACTCTCTGCTCAGGGTATGCGAGAATATCCCCATTGTTCTGTGTGGTAACAAGGTTGATGTCAAGAATAGGCAAGTGAAGGCCAAGCAAGTCACATTCCACAGGAAGAAGAATCTCCAGTACTACGAGATTTCAGCAAAGAGCAACTACAATTTTGAAAAGCCTTTTCTTTACCTTGCTAGGAAGCTTGCTGGGTATATATATGTGTATTTTGCTGATTGTGTTTTTTTTAAAGGGAAAATGAATGTCATTCGCATTCTAATTGATAATATATTTATACAGGGATCCGAATCTTCACTTTGTTGAGAGTCCTGCTCTTGCCCCACCAGAAGTGCAAATTGACATGGCAACACAACTACAGTAAGTGGCCTCATATTTTTTTCTTTGTTTCCTTTCTGATGTGCAATTGTGTTTATAGCCTAACAGTCATGAATGTTCCTGGGAAAATGTGAATGGTTTAACCCAACCTTGTTTGGCCACTGCATAGTACTTCAAATCATTCTCTTAATTTCAATTCAACAATAAAACATTTGACATCATGACTCGGAATAATCTTATGCAAGACGCAGATTTGCATGTCTTTAAAATGAGTACCAAAATTTAACCCCCTTTTTGTTGGTATACAATTGGGATCAATGACATTCCTCTGTCTGTATCTCTTGCTGTCTTCTGATTTATTTATGATCGTACAGGCACGAGGCCGACCTTGCAGCTGCTGCAGCCCAGCCACTTCCAGATGATGATGATGACGCTTTTGAATAGGCAGGAAGAAGAGTGCTATGAGTTCCTCATGTTGATGTTTCCTTTGTGATTTCATTTCTTGGTTTTCTTATACATCCCATTTGAGAAGGTGTTGGATGCGTTACCATCTGGTGATCTTTTCTTTCTGTTGCTGCATGGTATACTTGGGACCTATTGGCCCCAAGAGTTTTGAGAGTATATATTGCAATGAAGGGGTTAATGAATTTTGATTGCAAGGTAAAACCATATTCAGGTGTTGGATCGAACCTACCGTTTTGGCCTTCCAGTGAGATTCTCATAGTTTTAAAGAATGGCGCAAGATGCATGAATTTGGGGAAATTACGTAAAATAGGGCACTTGACAACCCCACTGAAGAAGTCCTTCCCCTTTGATGGTATAAATTTCGAATTGTATACAAGTAGGCTATGTACTTTTGATATAAGGAGGCATTAATCATAATTTACTGTTAGATTGAAATTGGATGGTTGGGGATGCATCATTAATGGAGTACAGGGAATAAAATCATTAGAATATTGTGACAGACTATGGAGCATTCAATGGTTAACAATGATTGTGACTTCATATTGAGAATTCAATGATTAACAATGATTGTGACCTCATATTAAGTAGCATGGCTTTTCATCAACTCTAGTGAGTTTGTGATGACATTGGGGACCAACTTTGGAAAAAGAGAAATATCCTTCAGAGTCGTGTACGACAGAAAATTATGCCAGAGGGAGCAATTTTGATGTTTACTTTCCTGGGAAAAAGAACTTGTGAACGACTTTTTAGGTAGAACTGTTGTAAAATACTCCCGAAGTTTACTGGATATTCACAACCCAAAAGCGTTGTTTTTTAATCTTTTGGGAGTTCTGACACTTTGATATTCATACTTGAAAATTGGACGATTTTTATTCAATTTTCAGGCATTATTTTTTTCCATCCTATAGAGAATGCAATTGGATTTTTTTTTTAATTCATTATAGAATAATGTGTTCAAGAGGTTATGTTACTAAAATTTTGGATCTTTAAATGCACCCAAGGGAGATTTAAATCCTTTGACGAGAGGGAAATTTTCTCTATCCAACTTGTTTTTGTTAAACCTTGAACCCTTGTTTTTCTCTAATACAATTTTTTGAAACCTGGTGATTTTTGATCTAGATGGAAAATTTATGGGGCGAAATATAGTCCTGAGATTGTATGGGTCCTAATCAAGTTCCCTCTTACAACGCCCATTTTTATAAATGTCTTTTTTATCTAATTATTTACTATTTTCTTAGATCCCCTTAAATTCTCAACCCATAAGCCCCATATTTTATTTTGATTTTATTTATTTTTCATATTTTTATGGATCAATCAATATCGAGATCAATCTAGATCATCGATCCAATAATGGAGTTTGAGTTTTGGATTTTTCTCTGGTTTTTTGAAATCTCGCCGACTGGCTTAAGAATGGCTTGCCCTTACAAAGATGAGTTAGAGTTTGCTGATTCAAAGAGGACCGTGTTGTACTGAACTAGACAACTGCAGCTCTCTTTGAGTGAAGGGAAGCAAAGCAAAACAATCGGTACAAGTCAATCAAGCGAAGAAAAGAGGGTTTGCAAGCGGTAAAGAAAATAGTGTGCTAACTTCGGAAAAAGTTCTTTAATGGCTATTGGAGATTATGGGGATGGAGATATAGAGGAGGACGACTTTGTGACATTGGTGGTGGTAGTGCGGTATGATGTGTCAGGTGGTCTGTTTTCGGATGCACAATTTTCTATTGTGGGATTGTTCTCCCCACCTTCGAATGATATTTTTGGCTTGAGTGATTGGGCCAAAAAGAGTTGTGGATTATCATATATTCTAAAGGTTAAAGTGTTGGGGCTTTAGCAAACCGCTTTGTCAGAATCTGGGGTAAGCTTTTAGCAAACCGCTTTGTCAGAATCTGGGGTAAGCTTTTAGCAAACCGCTTTGTCAGAATCTGGGGTAAGCTTTTAGCAAACCGCTTTGTCAGAATCTGGGATAAGCTTTTAGCAAACCGCTTTGTCAGAATTTGGGTTAAGCTTTTAGAATCTGGGATAAGCTTTTAGCAAACCGCTTTGTCAGAATTTGGGTTAAGCTTTTAGCAAACCGTTTTGTCAGAATCTAGGGTAAGCTTTTAGCAAACCGCTATGGTGGCTTTAATAAACCGCTTTGTTAGAATCTGGGGTAAGCTTTTACCTTTAGATTTGTGGAAACCCTCTTCCCATTCATTTTACTTACGGAAGGAGAGTATTTGGATTAGTTGGTAAACTGTTGTGGTGAATTTTGTGACATTGATAAGGATTCTGTTCAGGGGGTTAATTTGAGTTTTGTGCAGATTTGTATTTGGAAGTGGAGTGGGGCCTCCATTCCCAAAATGGTTAGACTTTTGGTGGGTCAAGGAAGAAGGTCTATCAGTATCAGTCAGTGACTAAGGATGTTGGGGGCCATCTCTATGACAATGGGGGTTGGCAAGAGGTTACTCACCCTCCATCTGTTAAGATAGTTCCTGATCAAGATTTTTCGTAGGGCCTTAACAAAATATTTTCGAGAAGGAGGAAGTGACGTAGTTTTAGGGAAACGACGAGAGAGTTTCGAAAGTTGAAAATTATCAAGCATTGGATCCCAGTGGGTCGTTTCACGGACTGCTCGGCGGTTTTGATGTCAACCGTTTCTGATAAAGAAGATGGTTCACGTGATTATGTAGACCGGTTGGCCTCAACTATCACCTTTTCAAAGGGAGAAAAAGATGGTAGCGTATCTCTGCGTCGTATCGAGGCAACTCTCTCGGGGAAGGATTTGGAAGTCGTGGTGGTGTCCCTGGCTTTCACATCGACGCCTTCGTTTTTTGTGAATGGCGTCTCCTCTTTCCTCGTATTTCTTCCCAGTGGAAAGGTCAGAAGGCGGTGTCGATTGCCTGCAAAATCAGCAATTTCAGTTAGTTCTTCTGGTTTGCTGCTCTCGTTGTGGTAGGTCAAAGGCAGTGCTCCTCGTTGGCCCTCCATCTGGTGCTGCTCTCGATGGTCGAGATGTATCCCCTCTTCCATCGTCTTGCTGTCAAGAAGTCTCGCTCTTCACTTATGCTTGCTTTTGATCCTCTGGCGATTGACCTTTTGGCTGTGGTGGCGCTTGACGAGGGTGATGCGTTCTTGGAGTTTGAGGATGGGGAATTTGTTCTTGAGCAGATGGAACAAGGTGTTCAAACTGATATTGGTGATGGGCCTTTAGTTCAAAACCCTGATCTTGCACTGGTGGAAGTGATTGTTTCTACCCCCCTCAATGTTTTACGGCATGAGGATAGGCCTTTGTTGCTGCATCTGACTGCTGCAATCCCTGCTGTCAAAATCCTTAACTTTATTGCTCCAAAAGTAGAGTCTGATGGTTTGATTCCTGTGGTGGAGTCCCAGAATTTTACAGAGGAGAACTTGATTTCTTCCATTGTCTTGAATCATGGGATGGACTTTAATATTCCTCTTGCAGAGGTTTTTAAGGATATTATTGTGAAAAGGAAGGCTGCAAAGAAAGGAAAGCACAATGCAGGGATCAAGAAGATTGTGACTAAGACTCCTACTAATGAAGGGGTTATAACAAAAGCCAAAGGTAAATCTTCGATTAAGTGTACAAGGTCCTCGGTGAGATTGCAGGCTCGAGGAACTCTGCGTGCTAATTCGGTTGCAAGATGTATTTTTATCTTTGATGAAAGGTTATAGAGGTCAGCTCGGGTCTCTCATCGGATGGTTAAGAGATCTTGGACGATGCCATGAAGGAAGCTATGCTCCTTGAAGAGGTTTTCTTCGGCGCCAGTAGGGACGATCTAGGTTCCTCCTCTGCTAACCCTTTCTCATAAATATTATATCATGGAACGTTCTGTTTTTGGTTTTTCATTTTAAGCCAACTATAATTATTCTGCAGGAAACTAAACTTCCTAGCCCCACCATTTTTGGTGTCAGGGAAGTTTGGGGACCTGGGTCAGTAGATTTCTTGGGGATTGACTCTATGGGTGCTTTTGTGGGGTTGTGGATTTTGTGGAATGCTACTGTTTTACAGTATTTTGGCTTTGTTAAAAAATACAACTTTTTGATGGTTGGTTTTAACTTTTTGATGGTTGGTTTGTGGGGCATGATTCTAACTTTCGGAGGGTGTCCCTGAATGTTTATGGTCCTCAAAGTTTGGCTAAAAAAGAAATCTTTATTAATGATATGTCAGACTTCATTAATAATTTCAATCATCCGATTTGTTTGGGAGGGGATTTTAATTTTATCAGATGGCTTGATGAGAGTAGTCATGGTTGACCTATTACGTCTACTATGCGTTTGTTTAATAGATTTATTGAGTCCAATGCCTTGTTAAATTTGCCAATTTCAGGCACAATTTTTACATGGACAAATGGAAGCTCTTTAAATTTATCCATGTCTAAACTTGACATATTTTTGGTTTTTGGAGAGTGGTCTGAATTCTTCTCCCTTGGTTCGATCAAGGCATTACCCAGACTCTCCTCTGATCATACTCCCATTTTATTGTGTACTAAAGTTCTTCTTGTAGGACCTAAGCCATTTAGGTTTGAAGCTAGCTAGTTTGCTGAGAAGGTGGTGGTTGACTTTATCAAAAGTGCTTCGGAGAATACTATTTCCATTGGATCTTTGGATTTTCAATTCCACAAAAAGTTTTTAGGTGTCAAGCATAAACTTATTGCGTGGAAAAATGAAAAGAGATTTCATGTGAAAAGGAAAATTGATGAAGTTCTCAGTTGCTTAGCAGAAGTGGATTCTATTGTTCAAAATTCAGGAGTTCTGAGGAGATGGTTTTGTAGTGAATCTCTAAATTTAATGTGTTACTTGAGCTTAGAAGGATAGAAGAGATGTATTGGAAGCAAAGGTCCAGGGTCAAATAGCTGAAGGAAGGAGATTTAAACACAAATTTTTTCCATGCCATTAAAAATGCTCAAAGACGTCAAAATGGCGTCTCTGGGCTTTTGATTCACGGAATTGATCCTGATGATGACATCGGGATGTCGAATGCGGTCATCAGTCATTTCAAAAAAGCTTTCACCACTGAGGTGAAGGTTACACCTCGGTTAACCATAGTGGGCTTTAAATGTCTTTCGTCTAATTTGATAGTTTTACTTGAGAGAGATGTTTCTATGGAAGAATTGAAAAAAACTTGTCTTTTTTCTTCTTGGTGATAAGGCACCTGGCTCTGACAGTTTTTCACTCATCTTTTTCCACAAATTTTGGAATTTGGTTTGTCGTGAGTTGTTGGAGATGGTCCGTGGCTTCCTACGTAGGGGTGAGCTTTTTAGAGGGGTCAATTCCACTTTTATAGCCATCATTCCCAAAAAGTCTGTCATTGCGAACCTTAGTGACATTAGGCCCATTAGCCTTCTCTAGAGTCTCTATAAAATTGTCGCTAAAGTGCTTGCAGAAAGACTTAAAGTGGTCTTACCGGTTATTATCACAGAGCCCTAATATGCTTTC